TCTTTCCTATGTAGCTATTTAAGTGTACTTTGCAGTTTGTTAAATGACTCGGATTTGTATAAAAATCTTATTAGGTCCTAATATTTACCTTATTTGTTGTAATTTGGTGAAGGAGCAAGTATTGAAAGCACCAATTCAAGTTTGTGAGTGGAAGTCCTATAGAAACCACTTTTAAATATTTTAAATTAACCTGTACATAATGCAACACTCACCCGTATATAGGCACATTCTTTTCCTTAGAGTTTTGACCACAAACAACAAATTTTTCACAAAATTACGAAAAAGGGACGGAGAGAGTCATAACCACCAAAAATGTAAACAATAATGTCACAAACTGTTAGTTTTGGTAATAGCAATTCCTAGCTCGGCGTTGCCAATTATATTCCGATTTCAATTTTTTCAGAAAATTACCTTCTCTACGAGAATATCATAGCCACCTGCGGCGCATAACTTTTTACCGTAGTAGGGCCACTATATGATTTCACCGCACCAGAACAAATAGTACACAAAATACTACAAGCCCACAGAAGCAAAAGAATGCGTCGGTTTTACTTTAAAGTGAAAAATTTGCGGTTATTACACTGTTACAAGTTACGCTGCCCATACATTGCAAAAATGTTTGTTGTTTTTACATACAAATAATATTTCAACTAACCAAAGTTTGCAAAAGTGTGTATTTCTCTAATTTTAAATGTACTATATTTAAATTAAGTAATCTCTATATTGGATTAAAAAATATATAGTGTCATTTAGGTATATACTTTTCACCAAAATGTTTTTCACGCATAATAACTTGTTTTTATATCTGACAAAGATGTTTTTTACAAGTCTCAGACACAGAAGACATTGAGAAAATATTTCTGCTTTCAGCACAGCTAAACTACCGACTTTGCGAAGCATTTTAATATTGTTAAACAAAAACTGTTCACTACTAGCAAAAAACAAATGATTGATCAATGATCAATGATGAAAGTCAAAGTTAAAATTAATGACTAATTACTAAATATAACAATGATACAAATATAAAATTAGCTGAAACCTTACAAACGTATACGTTTTGCTTGTGACAGGTTTTCCGGTTGTACAATAGGCGCGGCTTTCTGAAATTTGTCCAACTGCCATTCTTTTGTTTCTGCGCTGTTTAGTAGTCTGTGCCTATAGTGAATAGAGTAAAAGTTGTGGCACATTTTTCTTAATTCTGCGTCCTCACTATTGTTGCATTCGACATAATAAGTGTTGTATCTTGAGGCCGCGATCTAATTATTACGAATATAATCAAGCAGTCCGTTGAACTTGTTTAACGTAGTTCTGTTGTGGCATTAATGAAAAAAGTGCCGCCGGGACGAGAGAAAGACTCCGAATGATGGACGTCATTAAACCGGACATTTATTTTTGCCGCGGGGTTCGCTTATTTTTAAATTTTACGCCCGGCGACTTCCACAGCGGTTAACGGCAGCAGACTCGAGGTGATCGGTAGGTGACAATTTCTGTACCTCATCCCACAATTTGGGCTCCGTCAAGTTTCCCACTCCATATATGTTCGATGTCACCATAAACGATATCTAAATAACGCCCGCATTTTTTAAATGAATTTTGAATGTTTTTAATATGAACTCGATGTTTCTCGGTATCAAATAAAGAATCTCCCGGTCTCCAACATTAGATTACATTAGATTATTTCAATTTTGCGCAGTTTTGCGATATCAATTTGAAATTTTGCGGAGCTGCTTGCTGCTGCTTGCTCCAACAAAAAATCCCCATGTTAAAAATCAAATTTAAACGTTTTGTCCAATTAATTTATAATGTTTGCGCTGCTTCCTAGAGTAAGTTATGATCTCCAGAATTGAAAAAATTGACTTATTGACTTATTCGGCGAAGAGACCAATTTAATCAAATTATACAGAGGACGGCGTAAGTGGGTTGCCCAAAATTTAGGCATTTTTTGTTTGGTTAAACACCAGGGCACTATAATAATAAGATAACTTAAACTTAAAGAAGAGCAAAATTTCCAATCGGTTGCGCAAAATTCATAGATTCTAATGGTAACAAAAAGTTTTAGTTTGTTTGAAGCCCGGGGGAATTTTAAAATGTGGAAAGATCCTAAATTTCCCCAGGAAGGGACGCAAAAATTCAGGATGGTTCTGCAAAAATCAAAGAATATAATTTCGAAGACCAAAGACTCTAATTAAAAAAAAAAAACTCTGACTACTGTAATACTATTTACTAATCTTCTGGATTACCCCTGCGTCAATTATCGTGTTGGCTTCTTCAGAGCTCAACTGAAACTGTTTCAGTTTCACTGGAACAGGATGACGCTAGGGGAATCTAGGGAAAGATTTGTAAATAGTATAACAGAAGACTCACTTTTGCTAATGGGGGTAAAATGAAGTTTACATGTATTTTATTTAAAAAAAAGTGCGCAAAATTTCGTTTGGTCGCGTAATTTGGATATTGCTCGACTTAAATTTGTAATTTCTGGTGCGATTTTTTAAACTATCAAACGCGTGCGTGCTTTTACTGCTGGGGGATTAAAGCGTTGAATATTCGCCCTCCCGGAGACTATAAATATTTTCACGACAGCGACCGGTTAGTTTGCAGAACGCGTCGATCGTGGGGAACAGTGGCGGCGCAACGCGCCCACGACAAGTGTCGCGATTAAGCAAACGACGGGATATCTTAATTAGGGGGTGATATTTCGGGACACCGGAGCTCCCCCGTCCCCCGTCTCTGCAATCGGCGTATCGCCGCCCTAATCTAATCGCAATTATAAATCAGGATACGAGGGGTGGGAGAGAGTTGCCCCTCGTCCGGGGAACGTTATATTATTCAAGCTTTACATCTGCGCGGTTATGACGTCACTGGACGTTTGTCATAACGTTATAAGTCTCGGTCCAATCGATTGTACAGGCTTTTAAACAAAAAGTCGTTCTTGTTTAGAAAGATTATTATTCACGTCGTGATTAGTTGGAAAATTTGCCGTTATTTTAAGCATAGTTAATGCTATAGTTTTAAGTTACACCCCGCACAACTACTAAACAGAGTTCAGTGATACTCAAAGTTTACAGAGTAAAATATCATATGATTAGGTAGCTACTAGGCATATAGAGGCCTTGCCTATGCTAATGGCACAAGAACCCATGAAGCAACTACCTAATTTTTTTTGAGAAAGTATATTCAACAGGCACATGCGCAATGACCTTGCGGCATTCAACAGGCAAAGTGGCCGCTGTCAAATCGTCAATAAGTTCCAACACATTTTTTTTGTTACCTTCAAAGATGCCTGTATTATATACAGTGTGTTATTAAAATTACATCGTATAATACAATTTGAATCTAGGCACCACCCTGATGCCGAATCGATATTTTGATTGATCCAAATCGAATAAAAAGGCTATTTTTTCGTAACCTTATCCGGATCCGGACTAACAGATGCCACAATCGGGCATCTCACTGTCAAATTGACAATCGCGATCCCTATCAAACAACGCAACGTTTGTAAATGATCACAACATGTTTGCGTCTTATTAATTTCGATAAATACGTTGCAGAATAGTATATTATGCAAAAAGTGCGGTAAACGGCAATTGATTCACGAGTGTTTAATAAACGAGGGACTTAAAAAGTTTATCGAATACTATACTATACTTTACTATACTTTTTCTACGACCGTTAGTTTTTGGCCACATTTTCGCAAAACGACACGAATACATTCACTGAGATGACCGTCAGAATTGACAAACGTAAAAATTCAAAGCGCGGGAAATACCTCCGAAAACATCCGACTGCTCCCAAACCCGTGCGGTAAAATCCCGGAAATGTCCGAAGTGGCTGGGATTCGTCAGAAACGAAATTGACGTGGTAAAGTGACGCTTCCCGCACGCTAAATCGGTGTGCAATTGGGCATTTTACAGACGAGAGTAGAAAAACGTATGAAACTATTCATCAGGTACATGGTAACATGATTATGGCACAAAACTAACCAAAAATGCCGTTTGTGTTGTTATAATTCTGGTTATGTTTTGTCTACATAAACGTTTTTTAGATTGTTATTTAGAACTTACGCGATGTAATTTTATAATGCATCGATTCCAAAAATGCTTAAAGTTTTCGGTAATTTCTCACTTTAAAGTTATCACTCCTAAGAAGTATTGAAAAGTGATAGTTTCTAAAATAACGACAAAAATATCAAATTACACAAGAAATTTTAAATGTTTTCTTTTCCCAAGTTAGTGAGTTGTTAGTGATTTGGTTAAACGCAAGAACCTTGTGCGGCGCTAAAAGAATAAGTACATTAAGTAACACAATAAGAACTTATTAAATACGGGGTTGTACGATTTAGCAACCTGGCACAATAGCAAATGTTTTTTCGTGCCTGGTTTATGCTGTCATTTATACCGCCCAAATATCCAGTGGTATGAAAATAAATTCATATCAAATATCAAAAAGGCGTTTTCCTTGGTTAACCCCAAGAAATCGCCGTTTATAGTTTCGATTCTTTCAGGTGAAACAGATTGAAAGCCTTATTTTTGATTTATTAGTAATTCGCAGAACTATAAAGGAAAACGCCAAAATCATTTTCTAACCACAGAAATGCGAGTTTCTATGGCTTGACTATGGTTTCCCCACACATACAGGAGCGGTCGTGACGCCACAGACGTGGTGAAGACCCTCGTTGTTTCGAGCACCCTTTATTCACACGTAAATTTACGTCTGTTTGTAGATTAAAGAGTTATTAGTCGTTGATGTTTTGAATGCGACGTGTCGGCTCTTCGTTTACCGCTGCTTCTTTTCTTTCACGGCCCATTTGGCGTTCGAAACGGTTCTCGACGACAGACACCGAGACCGACTCGCTTTCGGCTTGATTGATTTCTCCGAAACGTAAATTTACTTTGGTTTCGGCCTTTGTACGTTTCTGTTTCCACGATTGCAGATATTAAAATGCCTCCGACTTTGATGTTTGACATCTCACGACAGACGGATACATAAAATGTTATGAAAACGCTCTAAAACGATTTGCTTTGATATGACTTACCAATTGACATTCGATGGTGACTTTAGGCGGCTTGATTTTGGCTATTGGGTCGTTTGACGTTTGTTTTTTCGGATATTCATATCAAAATGAGTGTTGCTACGCCAGATTTACAATTTAACTGACAGTTTTTTAATTCTCAATATAAACTAAAAATTAGTTTCCCGGCGAGAGGCAAAAGACGGAGGGAAAAAATCAGCTAACCACAGACGGCGTGGTCTATTCGGGAATTCTAACAATAACAGTAATAATCATAATAAGTTGTATAGAACAGAATTACTTTTCAAAAACCTTCAAATCATACTGATTTTAGCAACAATGTCAAAGAAATTGGATGCTCAGATGTATTTAAATTTTTCACATAAATATTAGATAATTTACTACGGTAAAAATTGATGCGCCACAGGCGACATTGATCTTTTCGTAGAGCAGGAAGTTATTTTCCGCGTATTTCTACATTCTACATTTCATGCACTAACCTGTACTTTGCGCGATTTTCTGTCTAAACGGCGATTTCCACGCACTTAATTCATTTTCCGAGAACAGAGCGACATCTAGGCATATTTGGAGAAAATACTGCCGTAAAAATGCCGCATCCCAAGTTATTAATGGTCTGTCAGCGGCCTCGTTGGTTGTTCAATGCCGTTTCATAAGTTTCTGTATTATCGGCATTTTTATATCAACAGACATCAAAAAATTGTATTCACATCCGATTTGCTTAAATCTTCAAAATATTGCAAAATACGCTAATGATACACCATTTTGTCACATTCAAGTAAATAATTTAAATAATTTCAGATCTGGAACTTATTCAGAAGAACATGTGGTGAGTCTAAATTCTAACAAATCTAAACTATTAGATTTTGGCAAAAAGACTGTACAATTCTGTGATTATACGCGCAACCTTAGTGTACTACTGATTTTTGAGTTTAAGTTTATTGATCATGCCAAAAACTCTAATAGGCATATATTAATTTCAAACTAGAAAACAATTATGTTAGTTTTGGTCTTTCTAAATTCAACTATGCCGAAAAGTATACAATAGAATACATGAACAATACATGTTGTCTCCTCATTTTTAGATTAAGATACTGCAACAGAATATCGCTATATTTTTGCTTGGTACCTTTGGAACAATTTACAACTGCTGAATTTTTGCCAGCGCGCGGAGTGTAGAAAATGATTTATAATGCAAGCTGTAATTTATTAATTGCTATCTACTTAACTAATTTTAATTATAAATAAATAGCCATTGGCATACCTCAGTGTATTTCTTTTTTTATTTTTATAACTCTATTATTAGTTTAGTTTTTTCGAGAAGAGCTCCACTTAGGTACCTGGAACGTACAAAAATTAATATGTCAAACAGGAAAACTAGCACTGATTGAGCGGGAAATGTCAAAATATAAGCTGGACATCCTAGGCTTGTCCGAAACACACTGGATTGGAACGGGCCATTTTAAAACAAGCAGCAACACGTATATTTGTCAAGCAACAATGACCAAACCTTCGCTGGCGTAGCAATACTACTATCCGTAAGAGTCCAGGCATATGGGAGAGACATACATAACGTCAATGATCGTATAATTTGCATAAGACTAGAAGGATCACCTCTAGTATTAACAGCCAATTCTACAGAAACGGATATTATGGACTTCTACGAGAAATTAACATCAACTCTAAGAAAAATTCCAAACAGAGAATTTATAACAATCTGCGGTGACTTCAATGCAAAAGTTGGCGATACAAAACTACTTGAAAAACATCGTTGGAAAATACGGCATAGGTACCAGAAACGAAAGAGGTGACCCCCTCATACAGTTCGCTGTAGACAATCACTACACGATTATGAATACCACTTTTACCCACCACCCACCATATTCGCAGATTATATACTTGGAAAAAGTCCAGGAGACAAATCGAGAAACTAAGTTGACTATATTCTTATGAAAACTAGATGGAGAAGTTCAATATCAGCTAGCAGAACTTTTCCTGGAGCATGTTGTGGCTCTGACCACCAACCCTTGGCAACTAAAATTAGAATGAAGTTCAAGAAAACAACAACTAACAATGTCCCTGAGAGATTTCAAATAGATTATATGGTACAGTTCCAGAATAAATTAGAACAAGAACAACCAACAATAACTAAAACTATGCCTCCGCAAACCGAATGGGAAACAATTAAAAACTGGATAGTCAATGCAGTGGGAAAACCGAAAAGAATAACAAAACGAAAACATTGGATTTCAGATGCAACACTGGCACTCGTAGAGAAGAGAAGATACATGTCAAAAAAAAACTAAGATAAAAATAATTATTACGCCACCATATGCAGCGAAGTGGAATCTCACGCCAGATCAAACCAACTAAAAGATCTCTTCCGCAAAATAAAATATATAACCAGAGATTTCAAACCCAGAACCTGGTCATTAGAGGACACAAACGGAAACCTTACAATGAACAATACATCGAGTCTCAACAAACGGAAGGATGGGAAGAAGAACCGGATATTCTTAAATGTGAAATAGAAGCAGCCATTCACAAATTAAAAAATAACAAAGCTCCAAGCCCCGATAGACTAACAGCAGAGATACTCAGAGCAATGGACGAAACGGGAATAAACCTATTTCTTCACCTATGCAACCAAATATGGAAAACTGGACAATGGCCAAAAGACTGGACAAAAAATGAAATAATAACGATTCACAAAAAAGGTAAAAAAACAAAATGCGAAAATTATAGAACAGTTACCCTTATTTCGCATGCTAGTAAAATCATCCTACATGTAATCAACGAGAGACTTAAAAACTATTTACAACCCCAAATACCAGAGAAACAAGCGGGGTTTTTCAAAGGAAGAATCACTAGAGAACATCTGCTCAACTTACGATAAATTATAGAAAAAGCTGGAGAATTTAACGTCCCTATGTCATGTCATAGACTGCAAAAAAGCCTTTGATAGAGTCAAATGGAGCGAGGTATGGACTGTCCTCAATGAAATGGGAGTGGCACAACATCTTATTTTCCTAATAATTACATTATACCAAAACACAAATGGTAATGTCAAGATTAATAACAGATATTCTCGAGAATTTCAACGAAGATATGGAGTGAGACAGGGATGTGTATTATCACCACAACTATTTAACATATACAGCGAATACATTATTAGGAAATCGCTCGATGGTTGGATGGGTGGAGTCGCAATTAATGGCAGAAAAATTAACAATCTTCGATTTGCTGATGACACCGTCTTATTGGCAAACACTGCAGATGAATTGTTGGATCTCATTCATAGGAATGAAAAGGAGAGCGTGTATCTAGGTCCGGAACTCAACACTTCCAAAACAAGAATAATGATAATTGACCGAGCTAATTTGATCAGGATCACTAATCACAAATACCGGTACATTAGAACAAGAGATCAAAAGAAGATGCGAAATGGTAAAAATAGCGACCAAAAAAACTGGATAAAATCTAGAAAGACAGACAAATAACAACACAAACAAAAATCAGAATTATGAACTGCTTAGTCTTTCCGATACTTATGTATGGTTGCGAAGCCTGGACTGTTAGAATGAGTAAACAACACAAAATTGATGCTACGGAAATGTATTGTTGGAGGAAATTACTAAATATTTCATGGACACAACACCGGGCTAATGACTACATATTGAAACAACTAAAAGTCAAACAAAGATTGTCTAGCCTGGTACGATTGCGTGTCCTATAATATTTTGGTCCTGTAATGCGAAGAGGTCCAGAGTGCTTAGAGAAAATAGTCATTCAGGGAAAAGTCGAAGGAAAAAGAAACCGTGGCCGCTCACCGACAAGATGGATTGACCAATTAACAAAACCTACGGGGATGACCATGCATACTCTCATCACCGAAGCCTAGAACCGTGAGAGATGGAAGACTCTAGTGAACGATGTCGCATTAGCCGCTATATCCTCACAAGAGGATACAGACTGAAGAGAGATTATTAGTTTTATTTTAATAATAATAATAATAATAATAATAATAATAATAATGATAATAATAATGATAATTTTTCAACTTTTACAGGCTTTTGTATTCCGTGTTGTTTGGCAAAAATGGACCAAAAAATCAACGGTCGTAAAAAAAGTATAATATGCAACATGGTAACATTTTTAAATCACGAGTTTATTTGGCACGAGCGGAGCGCAGGGGCGCAAGTGTTTAAAAAACGATGTTTACCGCACTTGTTGCATATTATACTTTTACAAACCTTCTGCGTTCCTCCTGCGTTGGTTGTTGATTGGTGAATAGTAATAATTATGTTTATTTTCACTGACTTTTATACAAAAGTATAAGATATTGTCCCAAGTACAAAAGCAAAAGAAAACACAAAGTTTATCGCGTTGTCAGATCGGCACTACTTGAATTAATGTTTTCATCATTCTTGTTTAAAATATGCTTCAAGTTGTTAATGAGCAGAGTAGGTTATTATATAATTTTTTGCAGCTCTGGATAACCTATGACTGCCATGTTACAAATTAGGATTCGTTCTAAAATTAGAATCAATTCTAGCCCTGCAATAATTAGATGAATTGATGTTTACATAAGTTATTTAATAAGCGATATAATATAAAGAGAAACGAAAACGTTAAAAGTTTGTGAGGAGTGACTACCAGAGTTTCCAACATTGCTCGACTGATCGTCACTATCAGTGAAGCGCATTTAGATTTTAACAAGTCCTTCATTTTTGGCTTTATTTTACTTATTCTCATTTAATACAAGAATACAAATATTTGAAACATTTTTTCTCTCTTTCAGCTCAAAATTTTGGCATGCATTTGGTACACCCGACAATATGGACTATAATAGCTTGCGTCGCGCCTTGTCTATGCCAGGACCTACCCCCGTACAACGACCCGTACAGGTTCGGCCAAACAGGTAGCCCCCACGAGGCGACCGGAAACCCCTACAACCCGCAGGAACCGCCCCCCTACGGCAACCCAAACATCGATCAGTACGGCAATCAGCTACCGGGCCAGTACAACCCTCAGCCTCCCAACCAATTCGGCCCACCGGATTCCGGTGGCGCAGGAGCGGTGCAGGATATCTATGCCAGGGACAGGGACAGGAATTTTCAAGTAAATACACGAGCCGCTTCTAAGTATTAACAATAATTCCAATTTATTTGTACAAAAGTTGTACAGAAGCAAAAAAATTGCTTCGTCCGTTGGGATTTTAACAATACCCTGTATACATATTTTTTTTAGAATGGACAACCGAACCCTCAGGATTCGTATGACATGGATTTTAACAGAAACACTCAGGTAATGCGTTTTTTTTTTAGATCGGGATTTTCTTATTTTTGTACGCAGTTAAAGATAGTTTAGGTTATGATCCGATTTGAAGGACCATAAATGGGATAAGGAGAGAACTTTTTTAGATGCAATTTCATATTCCCTGTATTTTTAATTAATCAATTAATTTAATTTAGACGCGTATCGGTTTGCCAAAAACAGTTCGCTAGTCTCGCTGGTCGGATCATAGTCTAGAAAATTGTGTCAACTAACCTATCCTCGTGTAAAAAAAAAACAAAATCTCAATGTTCGATTTGAAAAACGCTTGAAAACGTTTTCAGAACGGAATCGATCAGTTCGGCTTTTCGCCGGACCCATATGACAGGGATCGAAACAGAAATACTCAGGTAAGTTCTCACCGGCCTGCTCGTTATGGTACTGCATCACGTTCGCTAATTTTCGTGCAGGGAAACCAAGACGGTTTCGACTACTTCAACAACGGCTATGGAGGCGGAGCGCGGTGGAACAACCCCTACGGTAACAACCGCGGGGAACACACCACCATCATCAGGGAAGCGTGAGTGTCGCAATTTTCCGTGAATCCGACTCTAAAGACCGTAAAAAAAAACGTTTTCTTTTTCCTCTGCAGCACCTACTTCGTGGTTGCTTCCAAGATGGTGCGTCCCGGTCAGCTGTACCGGGTGTCGGTCACTGTGCTCCGGGAAAAGCAGCCGCTGACGGTTAGGGCTTCGATACAGAGAAACGGGGTAGAAACTTCGGCCGACTTCCGAGCGGTCAAAGAAGGCGTGCCCGAAACACTGCTGATGAGGGTACCACCCATCTTACCGACCAACGATTTTTAAATAATTTTTTTTGTTGGTCAGGTGCCGACCACTAGCGCGCCAGGCGATTACAAACTGAGGGTGGAGGGGTTATACGAGGACGTCTTCGGTGGGGTGGCATTCTCGAACGAGACCCGGTTGACCTTCTCGCAGAGGTCGATGACCATATTCGTGCAGCTTGATAAGCCCGTCTACATGCAAGGCGAGACTGGTACGGGCGGGGTTTTAATTAGGGGCGTGGCTGTGTGCGAGTGTGGTGTCTACGTGTGGGTCTTAGGCGGATGATGGTGATAAATCTTGGTGGGTGTCTAGAGTGAAATGGTTATCTACAGACGAGTCTTCGACGGAATTGGGTGTGGTTTGGTTCTAAATCTAAGGCAGCTTTTCATAGAAATGATCTCGTGCCATCCAACTAACTTTGCCCACTTTACGCGTCCATTGAACGATTGTATTCGATAAATCCTGTATCTTTCAGTGCGATTCCGTACGATACCGATTAATACTGAGCTGAAGGCGTTCAACGACGCCGTCGATGTCTACATGCTCGATCCTGCGGGTCACATAATGAAACGCTGGCTCTCGCGCCAATCGAATCTGGGCACGGTAAGCCTTGATTACCAACTCTCTGACCAACCCGTCTTCGGTGAATGGAAGATCCGTGTGATTGCTCAAGGCCAGATCGAGGAGTCGACCTTCCTCGTCGAAGAGTACTACCAGACAAGGTTCGAGGTGAACGTGACTATGCCCGCGTTCTTCCTCGGCACCGACCAGTACATCCACGGCATCGTGATGGCCAATTACACCAGCGGCGCGCCCGTAAGGGGCAACCTGACTCTGAAGGCTACCGTGCGTCCCGCGAGGCCGATAAACGTGAACAGAATGACCAAGAAGTACCGCGGAAGAGGTAGACGTCCAGTTAATGGTTTTCGCGACCCCAATCGCGAATACGACCCAGGCAGACCGTCCGATCAAAATAATTATCCGTACGACCAGAACCAAAACTTACCGTACGACCAGAACCAAAACGTACCATACGACCAAACTTCCGGGTTCGACCAACGTTTCGACGGCGTCAGGCCGTACGATGATCCGTATTTCTATGGTGAAGATATTAGGCCAATCGTCGAGAGGTATCTGGACTTTAGGGAGGAGATACCTTTTTGGATGGACCCGGAGAAGTTCTACGGGCAGGTGCCGAGCTTGAAGTTTGTGAGTGAGCCGATTGGCAGTAAAGACCTCGTGGTTACAATTTGGTTTTTCAGTTCTACGGCGTGTACGAGTTTCGGTATCCGGTGCAGGAACTGCTGCGGTATGGCGCGGACCGCGAGGACCTTGAGCTAGTTGTCACCGCGACGGTAGGCGATGTCTTTCTTGACGAAGTAATTGAGGGCTATTCTATGGCCAGGATATTCAACTCTTCAATCAGGTTGAAATTTTTGGGTAAGTGACAGAGTAGTTCGAATCTTTACGCGTACGAAAAGATTCTAACGATAAGCACCAGCGTTTTAACTCTTTAAAAGTACCGTAAAACGCAAAGCGCCGGCGTCGGCAGTAATTAACAAGCACCGCGTCATTGTTCTTAGGCGACTCACCTCAGGTATTCAAACCTGGCATGCCCGTTACCGCCTACATCGTCGCCTCATACTACGATGGCTCTCCCCTCTCCGACTCGAGTCTCGCGAACAGTTACCTCGAAATAGGCGCGTCGGTGGACATGCGCAATGGCGGCCGCAGGGATCTACCGCCCCGCCGCCTCTTTATGATGGATGACCAACCGGGCGTATGGGAGTATAAGATCGACCTGAAGAGGGAGCTGGGCTACTTCGGACCGCGCGCTTTCGAAGAAATGAACGAAATCGGCACGCTGCGCGTCCACGCCAGTTTTCGTGACGAGTATACCGCACAGTCTGCTCAGTCGGAACTCCTGATGCTCGCCCACTATAGCGACACCGACAAACACATCAAAGTCACCACTAGTACCGTCACGCCCAGGGTCAGCGAATACATGATCTTCCATGTACGCAGCAACTACTACGTCGACCGTTTTAATTACGTCATCATCGCCAAGGGTATCGTGCTTGTGATCGGCGACGAGGACATGAACGACTTTGTTAGCACGATGTCCATAGCTCTGAGCGCCGAAATGGCGCCCGTCGCGACGATAGTCGTCTGGCACGTGGGGCGTTATGGCGATCTAACGGTAGACAGTCTAACGTTCCCGGTCAATGGTATCAGCCGCAATAAATTCAAGGTGTTCATCAACAACAGGAAGGCGCGGTAAGTAGTTGGAATGAGCACACAAAGTCGAGCGGCTCGGTGTTTAAATGATCCGATATCTTCGCGTTCCAACCATTCCAGGTTATTGTCAAATGGTTCTTGTTTATAGCACGGGACACAAGGTCGAGGTTGCCATATATGGCGAACCCGGTTCATACGTCGGTCTGTCTGGCATTGACCGCGCCTTTTACACTATGCAAGCCGGAAACGAGCTTACGTACGCTAAGGTCATCACGAAAATGATGACGTTCGACGAGAACCTCAACGGCAGCCTGCTGCAGCACGCCTGGTTCTCCCACGAAGGATATCCCGATGAGCTAATCTATTTTCCTTCGAGCACTTACGGCATAGACGCCAATCGAACCTTCGAGTACGCTGGCCTAGTGGTGTTTAGCGATTTCGAGTTGCCTCGTAGACCCTCCTACTGTAACCACACCCAGGGATATGGCGAATGCCTCAACGGCCGATGTTACCGATTAAGTAAACGTTGCGACTACTTCCGAGACTGCGAGGACGGTACAGACGAGGCAGGATGTAATTACGACAACACTACCGAACTAGCCATATTCCGGAAATTCCGTTTTAACCGCATACAACGTCATTACGAGAACGTGTGGTTGTGGAGGGACGCCAACATCGGCCCTCACGGCCGTTATATTTTTAACATCGACGTCCCACCGAGGCCGGTCCATTGGATGGTGTCCGCGTTTTCAATGAGTCCTACTCTAGGTTTTGGTATGCTCAACAAGGCGATTGAGTATGTGGGCGTGTTGCCTTTCTTTATCAACGTCGAAATGCCAGCGACGTGCATGCAGGGTGAACAGGTAGGCGTTAGAGTTAGCGTCTTCAACTATATGATGGACGATATGGAGGCCCAAGTCGTACTCAAGGGATCCCCCGACTATAAATTCGTCCATGTGGAAGAGGGCGGGGTCGTTAGAGCCTACAACCCAAGGACGTCATTTGGCGAACATCAGGTAAAGATTTCCTATTTTCTGCCTTTTAGCTTCATTATGTCAATTCTAGAATAGCTTGTACAGTACTCTCATAAATTTACATTTTTTTTAGTTCTTCATCTACATCAAGTCGCAGGACGCCTCCCAAGTGCACATTCCGATCGTACCCACCCGTCTGGGCGACATCTACATCACGCTGTACGCATCCACCCTCATCGGTACAGACCAGATCATGCGGAAGCTTCACGTTGAGGCCGACGGCCTGCCGCAATATCGTCACCAGTCGGTGTTGCTCGATCTCAGCAATCGTGCATACACTTTCCAGTACATGCATGTCAATATCACCGAGTTCCCGATCATACCGTACGAGTACGACCGCTACTACGTGTATGGCTCGAACAAAGCCAGAATCTCAATTATTGGCGACGTTGTCGGTCCCATTTTCCCGACGATGCCAGTAAACGCTACCTCGTTGCTCCACCTGCCGATGGATTCGGCGGAGCAGAATATGTTCTCTTTCGCCGCCAACATGTACACGTTGCTCTACATGCGCTACACCCAGCAGAAGAACAAAACGCTCCAGAAACAAGCGTTTCACTACCTGAATGTGGGGTACCAAAGGCAGCTCTCGTTCATGCAACCGGATGGTTCTTTCTCGACGTTCAGGAGCGACTGGTGAGTGCTTGACGATTTGGGGGCGTGGCCGAGCTCAAGAGTATAATCTTTCTCTCTAGGAACCAATCTGCACCCTCGGTATGGTTGACAGCATACTGCGCGCGCATCCTGCAAGAGGCAAGTTTCTACGAGTGGGAGAACTATATCTTCATTGATCCCGCGATCATAGCGAAAGCCATGGACTGGGTGCTGAGGCATCAGACGGAAGATGGGTCATTTTACGAGACCACGTGGTTGCCGGATCGGAAGTACAACTCGTCTTTGAACCTCGACAATGACCCTATAGCAAACCGGAACATCACCCTGACCGCCCATGTGCTGATCACCCTGGAGTCGGTGAAAGACCTGACAAGTATGTGCGACCGAAGATGAGGTGGGTGGGGATGTAGACGATAAAGCTATGTTTTATTTTCAGGTGGTTTGAGTTCGCGCGTGGCCATCGCGGCTAAGAAAGCCATCTCATGGCTCGAACGCAACATGGAATTGATCGAGAATAAGGGCGGGGCGTTCGACGTCGCCATAGTAGCCTACGCCCTGATGAAGATTAAAGCGCCAAACGCGGAACAGGCATTCCTAGCACTCGCTAGCAAGTAAGCTGACGTCAGTCACTTCCCTTTGTTGGGTCATCAGTTTCGTTGTTGTAGGGCCCGATTAGAGGGCGGTTTGCTCTACTGGGGTCGCGAACCTGTACCCCAACCACCGTCGAAAATTGAGAACCAACGTCCGTTCCTGTTGCCCCGCCTGCCGTACAAGTACGACTCTGAAAATATCGAGGCGACCGCGTACGCCCTGATGGTATACGTCGAGCGGCAGGAATTTGTCGTAGATTTCATCGTCAGGTGGTTAAATACGCAGCGACTGACAGACGGGGGTTGGGCATCGACGTCGGACACGGCAAATGCCATGAAGGCGCTGATTGAGTACACGTCAGCGCAACGCATCAGGGACATATCCAGCCTGTCGGTGAAGATCGAGGCGACAGCTTTGCCTGGAAAATCGCACGTGATGAAGGTGAACGACGAAAACAGGGCGCGGCTGCAATACTTGGACATACCGGATGCATGGGGTAAGTTGCAGTCATCTGAAACGCCGGTTTAGGGCGCTGCGTCGGGAAATGGTTTCCCAAAATGGGATGTTTAAACTACTCGAGTTTGGGGCGTTGTTTTTTCTGCGTATGGAGTTTGCGAAGTAGTTGCTCATCAACGGCTCGGTTTTAGAATTACTCCACGATCTGGATCTTTTGAACTACCGCTCAATGGTGGTTTGGGTACAAAAGTGTATAGAGCTTCATCAAAATTCGGTTGGGTAGTTCTGGAAGTGTGGTACTTAGCAAATATAAAAGCAGCTTGAATTCTTCGAGCTATGTTTGAACTGCTTGCGAATGCGGGACCCACTCAAAAGTCACCGACCTTACGGCATCCACTAACGAAAGTAATTAATCAACTCGCCCGCAGGCACTGTCAAGGTCGACGCCCGGGGCACCGGCTACGCCATCTTGCAAATGCACGTGCAGTACAACGTCGACATCGAGAAGTTCCAGACGCAGCCGCCCATCAAGGCGTTCGACCTCGTCACTAAACAGTACTTCTACGGCAGGAATCAGTCGCACATCACGTACGTCAGCTGTCAGAGGTAAGTTCTGCCAGTCGACTCGTGTGTCTTTCTCAATCGCGCGTTCCGCGTCGTCACCAGGTGGATCAACCAGAACGAATCCGAACGATCAGGACTGACAGTCCTCGACGTCACGGTGCCCACAGGCTACATCGTTCAACAGCAGGACCTTGACGCCTACATCCTGTCCGGGAGAGTTCGTAACCTGCAACGGGCCAGGTTCCAGGAAAGGAAGGTGCTATTCTACTTCGACTATGTAAGGAGGCGGTTCTTTTTTCCCGAACTTCTCTTTTAATTCTGAAATTTTAGCTTGACAAGGAAGAAACCTGCGTGACGTTCACGGTTGAACGGTGGTACCCGGTAGCGAACATGTCGCGGTACTTAGCAGCCCGCGTTTACGACTATTACGCACCCGAGCGGTTCAACGAGACGATCCTCGACGCGTTGTCGTCTTACGTGTTGGACATTTGCCAAGTGTGCGGCAGCAGTCAGTGTCCTTACTGCTGGATATATAATGGAGCTCCTGGTGCGTCGCGAATTCCGGCTCTCGCGCCCTCGCTAGTCGCTGTGTTCGTTTACCTGACGGGGAGGCGAGGCCACGTTTAACCTTGTAAGGCACGTATATACGCTTTCCCTGGAAGGGGCGTGGTCGAGTCGTTGATATCAAAAGTTGCGTGTCATTCGTCAGGATTTGTAGTACAAAGCATCGTCAGTTTCGTGCCTAAACTTACGGACTGTGTAATTGTTTTCGCCGCGGTCTTTTAAGGGGGGGGGGGGGATGGGAACGAGAGGAAAACATATCGTGCAGCTTATCGGCGCCCGGAGGCTTGGCTAACGCGTATTGGTATATTACAAGTGATACGAAGGTGGTTTGGGTGAATCATATCGGAGCATCAAAATCATCACCGAAGCTAATAAACTCGCACCTAACAGGAATATAGGTAGGCGCGGCCGCAGTACGGAAAAGTTGGTTAGTTTCTGCCTCGGGTTTTCTCATAATAAAAGTATTCTTAATTATATTAGAGGAGGAAAATCGCGAACGAGTGGAGCGACTCGCTCGTTTAGTCTCAAATTATACCGTCCATATGGAGCGTCTTCGGCGTCCCCGTAGAAATTGCTAGTTTGAAGGAGATTCTCTAATATATATAAATATTTAATTTAGATAGGATTTTGTTATATATTTTTTTTATTTCCGCCGATTTTTTTTTTCACATGTAAATATTTTTTCCCAATGGGTTTTGAGACCCATTTGTGTTTCGGTACCACTTTCTTGTACATAATTTTGATTTTTCGTGGGAAAGTATACCAGACGAACGGAGAATATTTGCAAATGTTGACTAATAAAACATTTTCTTTTAATACTTGCGTTGTTTTTTTTTTTGACTCCATTTTTATAAGCGACTGGAACACCAATTGTTGCACTGGATATAACCAAAAACATCTTATCCAAAGCCCTGGAAATTCATTCATCAAAGGAATCGAAACTGGCCGACAATGTTAACAAACATTTATGAATGGTGATGGATTTTCCATTACTTGGTTGTAATCATATACTAGGTCAAGTCAAAACTGGCAATTTATGCTTTACAATGTCGCCATAGGTGCAGCTTCGCTATGACATCGGAAGCTAGAATTGTCAACAGCGCAAAACAATTTTTGATAACTATTTAATTATTATTTAGAAACAAAATAGTCTTAAATCTCAAAATCACCAACAACTAACAACCAACTTCGTCGTCCATGTTCGAAATGATGATGGATTAAAATTTGTACGATCAATTGCTTATCATGCGCGTTTTTTTATTTTATTTATTCAAACATTACAAAAATATAAATACAATTCATATATATCTAACGTGCAAAAAAAGGTGGTAAGTTTTAAAAAGAAAATATAATTACAACATATTGGCTTAAGCGTAGCAAAAATGAAACAAACAAAACAAAAACTCAAAGCAAAAAAATAAATAATTTTTGTTTTAAATCCCCAATAGAGTGAGCATTAAATCCATTCCAGCTTATTTACTACAATTGGGTTAGATTGATGCTGCGCACTTTTCGCAATAATTGATTTTTTTTGTACTTTGAAGGATTCATATTGGGTCTTGTATCTAGTTTAAGATGTTAAGTCAGCAATTTCATTTATTTATTTTATTATTTATTATTAATTTTACGGACAGAGTCCATTTTTACATAAAACTTAGGCAAAAAGGATGATTAAATTACCGGTTGATACAAAAGTAAAAACTGAAAGTAAAAGTCTAGGCCTCAATCTCTAAATCTGGGGAGAGCAAAATAAATAACTAATGTAAGTTATTTTATGTTATGCTTCCTTGAATCTGATTCCTAAATGTTCTGTTAGACATGGCAACATAGCATGTTAACGTTCCTGCTGTAGAAACCCCTAGGATTTAGTCTATCCTTAGCACTCAATACGCGCGAGCGCCCTGTCCTCAGGCAACGCACGATAACCGGCATTGAAATAATTTGAAGTTGTTACAGAATAAATCTTTAGTTTCTGAACTAACGTATTCATTTAACTGTCGCACGAACCCCCGACAGAACACTAAACCTACCCTCTACCAGCCTGGCCGCCGTTGCGATGAATGTATAACGTCCATAATTGGTCCTGCGGTACGGTACAAAAAATGTACTATTTAGGCGAGTTATTCGTATTGGTGCAAAAAATCCAATCTTTGACAGAATGGACAACTGAAGTTAATAAGTTTGAACAGCAACATCAGGTTGACTTCGTCACGACGAGCCTTAAGCGTTTTCAAACCTAATGAGTTTTCAAGGGCCACCTAATCGATGTCAGCCAAGTCGACAGTCGATTTAAAAACTATATAGCTGAACTTGTTCTATTCGACGAATATCCGGATAATCCGAATTCCATAGTGATGAATTATATTCCAACTGGGGTCGAATCAGAGCACAATATAGGAGTTTTATGGAATATACGTTTTGAAAATCTAATGATGATCTTTTAATAAAGCCCAACATTTTATAAGCCTTTGAAATTACGTTGGACATATGATTGTTAAAGGTAAAACCGCTTTGGAAGGGCACGCCCAGGTCTTTAACATTTGATACCGCATTTAGGTGTTCATCCATCCAAGTATATTCGTAAACTATAGGATCGCGGAGGCGGTGAAACAAGATACTTAGGCATTTTGAGAGATTGGGATCCATACCAAGTGACACCATCGGGCTAACCGTTCTAGATCCTCATGCAAACGAACCTGACCTTCACGAGTTCCAGTAATCGAGAAGACCTTTAGGTCATCGGCAAAAAGAGTGTAATTAGCATTATGGAAACAGGCAGCTATATCACTGATAAATATAAGAAAGAACAGCGGTCCTAAGCGAGAGCCCTGAGTTACCGGAAAAGGCGCCAACAAGTATTTTCCAAATCTAAGAACCTGACGGCGACCCCCCAGATACGACTCGATCCACTAAAAAAGTCGACCCGTTATACCTTCGCCACACAGTTTACCAAGCAGCAATGCATGGTTCACCCTATCAAACGCTTTGTAAGAATCTGTGTAAACAGCGTCAACCTGATGTCCCGCTTCCAAAGCATCAACGATTGAGTCCGCGTACGTAATTAAATTCAAAGTTGTTGACCTCCCCGATTGAAAGCTATATTGATGGTCTATAATTGTATTTTTGAAAAAGGGAATTAAGAATTGTGTTATTAAGTTTTCGAACAACTTTGGGATGGTACTTAATATGGATACAGGTAACATCGGGATGTTCTCCTGTTTTATTAATCGGAACAATGTAACATGTTTTTCCAGTAATCTGGAAAAATGTCCAAATGCAGTGATTCATTAAAAATGAGAAATAGAGATCTCGCCAAAACGAACGCACAGCATCTTATTTGGATCGAGTCTACACAGTTTGGTGTAGATCTCAGAAAAGGATATTGGATGTTCCTTCAAGTCTAAATTATTATAACTTAACTGAACGGGAGGAGTTAAGTTTTTCTTCACATATATAGCTTTGAAATAATTCCCAAATAAATTCGTGCTGCGCTGTGCATTTATAAAGTTCCAAAATCATTTAATACTTTCCGGAAGATTCGACTCTGTATTCTGAACAAAGTTTCGGTATAATGAGCACGATAGATCTTTGCAAGCCAAAAATTTGTTCAATCTCATTAGATCCGTCTTGAACTAACTGAGCGATGCACTGCAATCAAACATACCACCCCCCTCTGGAGTTAGCACTAGTACTTGCTGAAAGATCCGCCCGATAGACACATACTCGTCCATACTCAACTCCGCATCAAAGTAATCGCCCGTTAACCACGTCTCTGACAAAATAATATAGTTTTTTTTGCTGAATTATGGGATTGCCCTCTTATATATTTGATGACCAAATAAGCCGTGCGACGTTCGAGCTAAGCCTTAACTGAATTAAATGTTTTTAACTGGACCGAAGTCAAGTCGTCGTGAATATATATATTCTGTCCCTTCAACTTACTTCTGTTTTTGATGACATTTATCACGTGCTCCCTACATTGAAGAGTAACTCGCAACGGACGAATGCCTTTTCCATTTGGTTTACCAAAACGTGTGACATTAATTGTGCTATAAAAGGATCAAGTCAAGTTTCTCAGTATCTGATCGATATGGAGTTTTTCATCACCCTAACAGCTCAAGTTAAAAATCAACAGATTTGCCCTATGTTCATTCATCAATTTTGAAAAAAACACTCGAACTTCGATAAATAGCATTCTAGGAAATACCTATGTTCAAACAGTAAAACTTTAATAATAGTTTTTTGCAGAACATTGAACGGTTTGAGCGCTTTTTTAGATGCTAGCCCCGGCAATGCATACGCCAGAACTGATTCAACAAGAGAAGAATAAACTGTTTTAATTGTGTTTCTATTAGGAATTTTGGCTACAAAAATAGTTTTCTCAGCATTTAGGGTTAATAGTCTTTTAATGTTATAATTTTAAGGGCTTGTCGGATCTCCGGGGTTTGCTCACCCTTAGGTAAATAAAAATTATGCCCACTCTTAATCCAAAACTTAATGCTTGCCCCATATACCCACCATCTGCTGTGCAAACTACATTTGCATGGCATTTATCCACAAAAAAAAAACCATTTTCTAATAATTTATTTAATATCATAATCAGAGAGATATCCACCCTCGGGCTCTTCATCAATAAAATCTTCATCTTCAATGTCCTCATTGGGGGTTTCTATATCTTCCAAGTGGCGATCCCTGGCCATGGCAATCCAATATTCCTGATCCGGCGTCCAATTTTTATCCCCTTTGTTCAGTTTTGCTCTCATTAGCTGCAAATCGCCAATCGTATCATGTTGTCCTCAGGGTTGAGCTGCACACATACCTCTCGTTTCATCAAAAATTCCTTAAACGCCTCTCTTTGGGCCCTGTTACTCTTGTAACTGACGGGGTTCTGGTTGATTGGCTGCATAACCTTAAATCGGCTCCATTCGTCAGAGCGCTTTCGAAGTCCGGCCTTTGACTTCTTAATGGCCTTTTTTATCTGAAATTTGAATAAGTAGCTATGGAAAAGGGGTGAGGGAGATACTGACTCGGTCCATAATGTCTGCATGGTCTAGGCCCAAGACATTTTGTGGCATGTACGGCAATTCATCGACCTCAGATGCCCCCAAAGGCGTTTCTTGAGCCCTAACTTTTTGCTAAAACAGCAGCGTCCCAGCTTATTTAGAGGCTAATTGATCTACTTACCTTTGTATCGCTGTTGAGTGTAGTCCACAGGTGGAACTCTGTCTTGAGTAGGTCTGCCGGATCAATGGGAATGTGATCTTCACCAAAATCTGCTATGCTCAGTCTGCTTTCTACTTCTGATGCATTTACCAGCAATCTGTCTGCAATTATGTCAAAGGAAAATTCATCTCGGGTACCATAACTTATAAATATCAAACCTTTAACAAATATGATGTTAGGTACGACACCCAAGACTCGCAATTGGGACAGTTCGTGACGCAAGGATCCGGCAGTCTTCCTTAGCAACTCTTCGGTCGTGTTCTCGTCTTGGTTCGCTTTCGCTACCCAATACACTTTCAAAATTTTATAATCCATTGTAATCTTAACCTAAAAGGCGCCAATGTTGATAAATGATTGCTCCCCGCAATCGTTTACCTTGTTGATCTCGACTCCAAGTCCCACTATTTGGTCCGAATATTCACCAGTAGCCATCAGGTCAGTGATGTGCCGCATAAACAGTTTGTTTAATACGAATGACCTCTTGGAGCTGCCTGTTATTTTTGTTTCAAATGATCCTACCGATAACGATCCTGTCGAAGGCAACACCGAGGATGATTCGAAGTAATGCTTTCTAAAACGCTCTCATGAAATCGAGTACACTACGAAGGCTGTTTTGTTTACTTCTTTCTAGCGAAACCCATCACTTTGCCCATTATTCTGGCCGGTTTCGCTTTGATTTGACGGGTAGTGTGAAATGTACATCTGCTTAGGTAGTTCCGAATCATTTTCAAAATTTACAAGGTATATAGATATTTATTCGTTACTATCAAGGAAATAATTACAAATTGACGGTGCGAGCCGTCTGAGTTAACCTTACTTTACCGTGTGTACTCTGTGATGCGATTGGAGTCCGCAAAAGTGCAAGGCGAATAAATAGTTAGCGTCTAATAGTTTTTTTTTAATTTTGCAATATATGGGCTCCAGATAAGGGTTGCATCTTATTGAATTCAAAATAACAAATTGTGTAGATCAATTAAAAGTTTCGTCTTTCTGTGACATTAACCTCAAAACATGGCAAAACAACTTCTGGAAGTCACAAAAATCTTTCAGAAGTTAGTGATAAACTCCAGAAAAAATGTTGCTACGCCTTTAATTAAACTACATGACGCGATTTGCGAGAAGCCGGCTATCATCACAGCGAATGCGACGAGAAACACCAATTACTTCAACAAACGTACGAATTTAGATTATGCGTGTATTACGAAATTATTGTAATTTAAATTTCTAGTGCCCGCGAAAGACCTCTGGAAGAGCGTGACGTCGGTAAGTAACGCGGGCAGAAAAAGAGGCCGAGCCAAAGCCATTTCCAAACGCAAAATCAAAGATCTTAATAAAGGTCAGATTATCGGAAGCGGTAAGTCATTGTTAAAAAGTCGACAACGTGATAATACAGGTCTTGCCGTATAGGTAAGGCGAATATATTATGGCCCGGTTTAAACACGCCGATCTTGCGGGGCAAAGAGTTGGTCGAGCAGCAGCAGTTACCAGAAAACCCGGAACGGGAGAAAATGCTGGCTGAACTGCGAGACAAAATGGGTTCATTCCGGCGTACCAAACTTAGCCCAATCGAGAGGGGTTGGTCGGGTGTCAAAATGCCGGGCCGAAGTTTAGGTCCACCGGATCCTGTGGGAGATGGTACCGGGTGTTTAGCTAAGTTTGTGTGCTATGTTGATATTGTTTTTTTTTTTCAGATACGTTCGAAGGGTTTGATTCGCGGGTGCTGGAACTAAAGTTAGTATTTAATATGAAGGGTAACTTTGGAAGGGTGAGGCGTATGTTGGCTTTAGTAGTGTCAGGTAATGGTAATGGGCTGGGAGGGTTCGCTATTGGTAAAGCCATGGACCCCAGAACTGCCCTGCGGAAAGCTAAGAACAGATCGGCTCAGAAACTTATGCACATCAAATTATTCCGGAACCACACCGGTAAAACACCTTCTCCTTACATTGCAAGACATATTCAATGTTTTCTTTTAAGTGTGTCACCATTTTTTTACGCAATTTGGTGCCACCAAAATCTACGTGTGGCAGAGACCTCAAGGACATGGTTTGGTTTGTCATCGGGCTATCAAAACCATCTGCGAAGTGATTGGCATCAAAGATCTGTCTGCTAAGGTGGAGGGCTCGACCAATATCAATCACATCGTTAAGGCCTTTTTCCTTGGTCTCATCCGACAGAAGGCGCCCCAGGAAATAGCGGAAGAGAAGAAACTTCATTTAGTGGAAATATGCCCAGAAAACAACTACTTTCCGACAGTTATAGCATCACCAACTGAATGTCGAAAATCTTCCGAGGTGGACAACACCGAAATCTTAGATTATGAACAATATTGCTTCAACGGAAAAGTGGTGCTGAAAAAAAAGAAACCACCGCCGTTTTATACGAAACTGCCAGGATATCAGAAACATCTCAACAGCAAAGAGCGCGTCAGAAACCTGGACTCACTCAAGAAAAGTTTAATCGCTGAGTATGGAGAAATCAGGACATTTTTGACCGAGAAGTATCCTGAATGCAAACCGTTCAAACGTGAGAAGAAAGTGGAGAGCGAAGCTGAAGCGGAATAGTTAACAGCTTCAGTTTAAATAAATGGTAATTGTCACATTGTCTGTTTTACAGAACCCCTGTCCTGTATCAAACAAACGCTAGGCACTTGCTGTATACAGCGAGCTAACGTCGGGCAGACACGATTGATTTGATTTAATTATTTCAACGTTTCTATTATCAAAGTGCAAGAAAGTGGGAAAAAAAATTCAAGAAGCAAACGTAGAATCTCCCAAAGACAGAACGCCCATTTCTTAATGACAAGTAATTGCAGATAAACTTTCGTCTCCCAAATAGGATTAAAAAAATGTCAATGGACAATTTGTACTGCGGGTATTGCAAACTTCAATCAAAAAATTAAAAAGTACGATAAAACAAGCCAATAAACAATTGGTTCCTGCGCGTTCGTTGGTCCACGGAATGTTTTTTTATTTAACGATATGAACTACAGGGCGTAAAATCTTAATTATATATTCCTAAAGATAAATAACGTATATCGTTGCGTCCGTTATGTCTCCGTAATATAAACAGACGAAAACGTAAACCAAACAAACCGCGGTTCCTGTTTCAAAAATTGCACATCTCCAATATGTCTCTTTTTTCGCCCAGTAAAATAGTTACAGGGTCGTATAAAAACTACATTTTTTAAAAAATGTACACTATAAAATAATGAAATAATAAAATTGAACAGGTTACTCGAGAGCGATACAATTATAGCAATAACAATACATTTTTTTTTGTTGGTTCACTTCCTAAAGCGCATATTGAGTATTGTCAAATATATTATTAGCCACATGAACTAACAACACTGCTTAAAAATCATGAAGTTACCCAATATGACTTCTTAAATTTTCTGACCAGTCATCGATTTTGCAATTCCAGTGCCTGCAAAGCACACTCTCTGTTTCGTTTTTTGATGAGTCTTTTAAGCTCTTCGCTCAAATTTCGCGGAAGCGCCAAAGTGTCGACGTCTTCCGGATCAAGCATATGATTCCTGATGCACAACAGAGAAGCGTATCTCAGACTATATATCGGAAGCATTATGTGAGCCCGAACTCTCGCTTCATGATTTTCTGGTATCGACCTTCCCGGGTACCTCTCTCGCATATATTCCCTCGTTGTCTTTGGCAGATAAATAAAGTTCTTATCGACATGTAACACGTCCTTCGTGAGAATATCTTTCGCGATCCACGGATGTGTCTTGTAAGTGTTTATGTCGACGGAATTTCCCTTATTGAGAATTCTATACCGTACATATTGTCCAGAGAAATTGATCCAAGTCAGCTCCACGGTTCTTTCAGTTGAATTTATGAAACGCACGTAACATCTTTTATTGCTGCGCAAAGCGCGCGCGTTTTCTAACCTGTCCATGTCAATAGCCGAGGTCGGGGCGGGCTTATAGGTCGCTGTTTTACCGTCAGCTCCCTTTAGGATTTCCGAAGGAAAAGGACCCTGAGTTATGGCAATTTGCGCTGCGATCGTGGGCAAAGACGTAAGTTTTGTTAAATATCACATTACGCGCGAGATCATCCGATTTTTTTCACATTGGGATGCATTGGACGATTTGTTTACCTTATTCACACGTAGCACGTATATCGATTAGACGGGAAAAGTGGTCGCATTCAGCGGACCATAGACCACTATATTATATTGGTTAGTTCAGCGGACGTAGCAAAGAACTCCCGATACGTAGCGGTAGCGATTGGGACCGTATTGGACATTTCAGCTTACAAAGTCGTAGCGGAAACGTCCGGTGGCACATGCGCTACAAACTCAACACGTCGGGTGGACGCCATTTTTATTAGTGGTTTTATTTTGTGTTAGGCAGCGAAAGTGGTGAATTTGATCAAGGTGTAATGGACAGTGATGGTGAGTATGAATTTGCAGCATAATAAATATATTGTGTTATTATTTATAATATTAGTATTTACAAAATGTACAAAAAAATGTTTCAGGGTCCTAACCTCTTAAGTTTTCGAAAGATCGTATCAAGGTATGTGTTTTTTCAAACAAACGGTAATCTTTTTTAAACGTAAATTACACTCACATGAAATAGAGATGCTGTTTAAAGTTATTTGCAGAATGAATTTTTCCTAAGCGGAGGAAATATTGGATAGGAAATGGAGAAACCTGAAAAAAACCTACACAGGCATCAAAGACTATATAGGGAAGGAGGGGCAGAATTTACTAGGAATATTATCACCAGATTGATGAAATACATAGAGAGGACAAAACAGTTAACCTGCCTAACCTAATAACCTCGGCAGCAGTTCCTTTTATAAGGAAAAAACCCCTTGCCGAAAATAAGAAAGACCCACCTTCTATCCCAGTGACTTCACAAATGGAAACCACTCCAATCAGAGCAACATCTGTATCCCCTCCCCGTAGATTAAGTTTCAACATTTTTTTTTATTGGTATAATTAGAAAAATTAAATTTAAGAAGTACCAAGACTAGGGAGTCAAAGAGTAGAATGTTTTATCTATGAAGAAGGCTGACAAATATCGAGCGAGCTCAAGTATAAGAAATTAGCCTCTCTCAAAACGCCATTGAAAGAAGCAAGAAAATCCAGGAGGAAAGAAATAAAATTTTGTACTTATGGGAATTACCAAAAAAAAATGAGCAATAATTTAAAACATATTTTTATTTGTTATAAAAGCATATTTGCTATTTGGTTCCTTCTCATTTCCCCACTCATCTGCAATATCTACCTCCAGGTGTGGTAACTCCTCTTCTAGAACCTCTTCTTAACATATCAAATGTCTGGCTGTTCCCAAACGTACTAGATGTGGTAAATTCTAAAATAGACTTCTTTTAATAAGTTTACAAATGAAGGCCTCGAAAATGTTCTAAGAATAAGTTTTGTTCATAACACCTTACTGTCTTCATAATACTTTTGATTTTTTGGTATTGGACACCTATCATCTTTATTATCCTCAAGTATAAGAATAAGTTTCCTTAATAACTCCTTACTGTCTTCGTAATACTTATGATTTGTTGGTATTGGACACCTGTCACCTTTATTATCCTCAAATATTCGAATTGGTTCTGCGAATTCCAAAGCCATTTGACCAACTTATTCTCCCTCGTTTCGTTTTGAATTAAAGTGTCCTTAACGTCCGTTTCTACTATTTTCTGATGTAGTAGGTATGTTTCCACTTTATTAACATGTTAAATCAGCAGCAGTTCACACAAACACTGAATAAGATATACCTTCGAAAAAATCTAAATTTCAAAATCAACACCCAAACAAAAATATGAAACTATAACCTCAACATATGTCAAAAACTGAAACGGTAAATGACTTCACACGTTTCCAATCTTAATCGCTACCGGTACGTGTCTGGAGCTCTTTGCTACGTCAGCTGAATGAGACCAGTGACAGATGGGGATTTTAGATGTTCACACGTATCGATCACGCGATATCGATATTGCCGGGTTTTTATCTTTTAAAATGACAAAAGTTAAAAGGTGGTGTTTCAGCATGCTTTATTTAGCTTGCACTCTGTAGAATATTGCAAGTCAAAGACCTGCGGTTTGACGTCATAGCCTGCGATATTTCAGAATTCGCCCAAATTTTTTACTTGCGTGAATCCCGAGGAAGAGTTAAGTCTTCAATACAAGGTGTTGTCGTCTTTGGATATTATCGAAGAAAAGTTGAATCCGACAAACAAAACTGCTACAGAATCCAAAGAATTATACCTGGGCATGTTGTATTCCTTAGAAAATTATAAGCTGTATCCTTTTTATGAAACTATCTTGAGCATTCCTTATTAAATTATTCCTTAATGCGATGAAGGTATGGTTACGTAACAAATACGAAAATTAAGTTTGTTATAGTGGTGGACTCTTCGAATTTGGCGCTAAGAGATAATGAAATCAGAACTGTATGTTATTAACTCATTTCTGAGCAGCGACGGATTAACGGTTTTAAAATTTCAGATGTTCCGCAAAATTCATTGCGAATACGCCGACGTTGTTAGCAATCCATTCTATACTCCAGGATCGGCAATTACTTCAAAGTTAGGGTCAAGTATTAGCATTTCAAAACATAGTAATAACGATTTTTTCAGGAATTTCGACGCAAGCATAAAGAATATTATAACTGGCACAGTATAAATCAAAACAGTTCTTATAACTTACTATTTATTAATAAAATCAGCAAAATTAAGTAAGTTTGTGTCTTATTTTCTTAGGGAACAGGCTGACATCAGGTTTTTATAGTCGATAGCTTTTTAATTGACAAACTAATTTCAAATCACGCTACAGAATATTACATGCTTTTGGCAGTAGAATCTGTCACGGACCAAAGTATATTTCTAAAGAATGCTTTTTGGGATATGGCGAAGGTTATGGCTTTGTAATCCTTAAAAATGTCTACTTTTAGCCTAATTCGCAGGGTTAAACTAGCAATTGCGGTTCCAATTTGTGGTCCTCCTGCTAAAACTATTTACACCTGTCGATTTCGTTCGACTGTATCGCGTAACCTTAAAGTAAACCAAATGCATATGATATCTAAATGTTTGCAAAGGTTTTCATCCACTAATGTTAAAAAACATATAAACGTTGGCACGATAGGACACGTCGATCACGGTAAAACGACGCTTACAGCAGCAATAACGAAAGTGTTGCAGGAAGACGGACTCGCAAAATATATTTCCTATGACCAGATAGACAGGGCGCCAGAAGAAAAGGCCAGAGGAATCACCATAAACGCGTGCCATGTCGGTTACAGCACAAAAAATAGACATTACGCGCATACTGATTGCCCCGGCCACGCCGATTACATAAAAAACATGATATCCGGGGCTTCGCAGATGGACTGTGCAATATTGGTTGTGGCCGCCACTGACGGCCAAATGCCACAAACCCGAGAGCATTTGCTTTTGGCCAAGCAAGTCGGGGTTCAAAAAATTGTCGTTTTCGTCAATAAAGCTGATTTAGTCGATAACGAGGTGAGCTTTTCATCTCCACACAGCGCTCACTAAATTAAAGCCTAGGTTTTAGAACTTGTAGAGATTGAGGTTAGGGACCTGTTGGATAATTTTGGATTCGATGGGTCAAATTCGCCTGTAGTTACCGGCTCCGCCTTGGAAGCGCTGAATGGTAATGATACTGAGATGGGTAAACAGTCCATTAAGAAGCTACTTGATACATTGGATAGGTATGTCTCTCCTCCGGAACGAGACTTTGCCTCTCCATTTATGTTACCCATTGACAATGTGTTTACTGTACCTGGACGTGGTACTGTACTGATAGGTACCTTGAGCCGAGGGGTGATGAAAAAGAATGCTGAGGCCGAACTGCTGGGGTTCGACCAGACTATTAAGACCACTGTTAGTGATATTCAGGTGTTCAAAAAAAGTGTCCCGCAAGTAAGTTTAGTCCGTTGAAGTCCCTAGTCTCGATATTTTAATTATTAATTTTATAACGCCGTTAAACAAACCACGTATGTCAAATATAACCTCACTTTAGGGGCACTTGTTTTTATCTTCTGCCTAATCCTCTCTTTTTAAAATGTTTGATTTGGTGAAATAAGTTCTAATCACCAATTTCCTTAACAATCTTTCTTAATGACATTTACGTTTCTATTGACCTTTTGTTGGTTTATTTTATTGGCTCTTGAAACTCGGAATTGTTTGTTCATATTTAGTTTATTTTCACTTTTCGCCATGCTTTTGATTCAAAGATAAGGATTAAAACCGGTTACAGAATAAAATCCCTGAAATTGACCGATTTTTCGTGATCTTTTTTTCCAATTTGACCCGTGTATATTTTTGTTGGACTTTTCTTTCCAGCCTCCTATGGAAGCAGCGCACTGCGTTTATAACCTAAAAACTTGATCTTAATTCCGGTGGTATTTTTTATTAGGCGGTTGCGGGCGAGAACGTGGGCGCTTTGGTACGTGGCGTCAAACTGAGCGACGTCAAGAGAGGCATGCTTCTTTGCGCCGCAAAGACGGTCGCCCTGAGCAACAGATTCAAGGCCAGTGTTTATTTTCTCAGTAAAGCCGAAGGGGGCCGAAGCAAACCAATTGTAGGCAAATACTGTCAGCAGTTGTTTAGCAAAACGTGGAACGTCGCGTGCCGCATAGATTTAGGTTGGTTTTAATTGGGTCTGTTTAAAATTTTCAAGCATCTCACCCTTTTTTTTTTTAGAAGAAAACGTGGAAATGATCATGCCCGGTGAACACGGCCAGGTGATTTTGACACTGTTGTCCAAAATGGTGATGCCTCAAGGGCAGCAGTTTACTATCAGGGAGAATAACATTACGGTTGCGACCGGCATTGTTACAGACACGTTACCGAATGTTAACATTAGCCATTCCTTGGGAAAGCTTTAGCGTTGTGATATAATTAAGTGTAATTGGTCGATTGGCGTCTAATTGGACCCGCAATTTTGCACACGTTTTTATTATTAAATTATTACTAATTTGACTATCGTTTTTTTTTTTAATTTTCGACCTAAAGAAATTTGACTAAACTGCCATTTCTATAACAAATTTTGTTTTCACCAAAAAGACCTTGCGGCATCAATTTGCACTTTTCAGTTAACTTAACTGAAATTTCGGTACAAGCGGGGAAAATCCTTTGTTTGAAAATGTCATAATCGCCTGTGTCGCATCAATTTTATCTACCTTATACCTATATGTTAACGCTACGTCAAGCATTTGAAGTAGTTTCGCGCAAGTGGAGTTGAAATGGGGAAGCAATTAATTATTAACATCCAAAAATTAGGTAAAAAGAGCAAAATATCTGAAAATTAATCAAAACCACCTATCAGGACAAAAAAAATTTAATCGTATTGGGGTGTGGATCGGAACGGAAAGACTGTTTTCTTTAATATACAATATATCAGTAATATACACAAAAGGAAACTACAGAATTTGTGATGCCTATTATGTACCGTGCATAATGCATAAATGTATCGTATGCTTAATAAATTAATTGTCACATTCATATACCATTAAGAAAAATGTCGACATTTAACAGTTCAAACTTTTATTATATATATGTATGTCAAATCATTTGATAAAGACACGGTGTTGTCGAAACAATTGTCATGTAAAAATAGATAATTTCGTGAAAATCTGAACTTTTAGTTCTTATTTATTTTGATAAATGGATTTTCAAGTAAAAGCCACCTCAGTTCAAGTTATATATTTTTGATTGCAAAATCTCAACGTTTTAGAAAAAGTTTATATACACAGCGCGTAATTTTGCCCGTTTCGGAGGACTGATGATTTCGATCTCACACTATTCGAAAGTATTCACGGGCCACATCGTGCTTATAGGTTTTTTAAATTCACAACTTTTTCAAAACATTTAATTTTTGACGAAATTTCGTAAACAAAAAATGTAAGTTTTGGCTGTTCTGTGTAAAAAAGTGATTCTAGACAAACAACTTTGAACGTTCATGTAACATAAATCATCCAGTTCAGATTAACAAACCACCGAAAAAGATTTTTTTAAAACCAACCAACGGAAATTGACTAATTGGATAACAATTTGACAGACATCGGAAAAGCTTTGCCAATGAAAGTCCGGCTCTTTCATATACTCTGTTATTGTTTCCGTTGATTTACAAATTTTCGTGTACAATGAACTCCTTATCAAAAATAAACTTGTCCCATTATCATATCATTTACACAGGCTATTCTTTCGTTGGAATCTATAATATTTTTATATTTACACGTTTGTGTTGCAAAAACATTAGTACAATAAAATGTAATGGCCCTCATAATTTTTGAATTATTATTATCTAATGTTCCCTGCTGGAATATAACAATTTTACGCCACACCAGCCCCACGCATAATTAAATTGCGCCGGTTGTTTTTATGTGAAAACGTCAATTACAATCGCAAACAAGTTTTAATAGTAAACAAACCGATTATAACAGCGAATTGAGCCTTATGTATCAGATAACCGTTAAATACCATCAGTCAGTCGTCTGGTGCACTGGAAATTCGTGTTTGTATCGTTAACCACCAAATGTCATCGCAAAAAGAAGAGTTTGTGATAGAGGGGCCGGAACCCGGCGTATCTCTATCGAGCGCCACGTTGGGGTTGGAGATATATTCGGTACTTTGTAGGGCGCCCAGAAGAGCAGTCGCGATGGTACGTATTGTCGTTTTTTTTTTCTATGCGAAAACCGCAAAAAAAAACTATCCGGCCGTGTCCACATATCCGGAGCACAGACTGGTGCGTTGATGGTCCATGCATCAAAATATAGAGTGTGTCGTTTATCTTGGGACACAACCTTATCTTAGAAACTATAGGGGATGGAGCCAAAAGTTAAATACAAAAGTTAATTGGGGTATTATAAACCTTCCACTTTTTTTAACCTTGTATATATACATTTTTCGTGGGTGAGTATCAACTTTCTTATTTTAATTGAAACACCTGGCATATCACTTTATTTTTGAATCTATAATGTCCTATACCTAAGCCTAACCGTTTTTGACATTTTTTTTTTTTTAGGCGAAAAATGATGTTTGCAAGACATAAAATATTTGCCAATTTCTCCATTCGGAAGCATTTATTGTTAATTGAGTAAGATTTGTTCTAGAAAAAGGAGTCGAATAACGGATTTCATTATAAATTTCCATACATAATAATACAGGGTACACGAAAAATAGGATTAAAAATGAAGTTAAAAAAATTGCTCAATACTTTTTTTTTAATGGTAACTACCTATTTTTATAATCTTGTCATATTTAGCATTCAAATTAAGGGAATTTTATATAAGTTGTATATGGTTAGTATTTTTACTTCTTGAAATATTCCCTTTTTAATATTTGTCTATCACAAAGAACATACTGTTGCCATATAAGTCCAGTTAGTGTTAGAACGCTGCTTGAGTATTATGTTTACCACAGAGGATAAGATTGATATGTTAGAAAGTTACTTATCGAACAATAAAAACCAGCTGACTTTTAGAGATTATATTAGAAAATTTTATTTTATTGATCGTTTGTTAATAAAATATTCACCAACGTTATCGCGTATCCTTGGTCTTATTCTGTATAAATAATGCAAACATACATTTATATAATCTTTGAATCTTCATAATAGCATCGGAAAAGATTAATGTCGACTATGAAATGGTAAATCATAGTGGCAGCACTTTAGCATTTGTTTTGTTCAAACGCCGTCATAGCCACCTTACACTAACTGAACTTATATGGCAACAGCAAATTATTTGTGATAGACAAATATTTAAAAGGGAATATTTCAAAAAGTAAAAATATTACGCATATACAACCTTATATAAAATTGCCTTAATTTTTATTGCTAAATATGACAAGGTTTTTAAAATAGGTAGTTTCCATTAAAAAAAAAAAGTTTTTTGGCAGCTTTTTAATTTTATTTTTCGCGTACCCTGTATTGATATGTATCAAAATCTTCTTTTGAAATCCGTTATTTGAGCCCTTGGTCTACAACATAACTTACTCAAGTGAAACAATAAATGCTTCCGAATGAAGAATTTCGCAGATATTTTACGTCTTACTGACGTCATTTTTGCACATAAAAAATTAAAAATATCAAAATCTATCAGACTTTGGTATAGGAAATTATGCACAAAACATGTCTAGAATTCAAACAGGTGTTCCATTTAAAATAAGCAATTTGAGACTCGCCCATGAAAAATGAAATACCCTGTATATACAAAATTAAAATAAATTGAAGGTTGTAATACCCCAATTAACTTTTGTATTTAACTTTTGGCTCAATCCCTTACAGTTTCTGAGATAAGGTAGTGTCCCAAGATAAACGGCCCATCGTATACATTTTAGGGTATCAAAATAGTTCACATAAAATAAGAAACTTCCGTGTTATAGTGGTTATTATTAGGCAGTGCTTAATAACCATTTTTTTTATCAAAAACCAGGACGTATATATACATGCTGATAATTCAGGAATAAGATCTAGAGACAGACAACCAACATGGCCACTGACAGTTACATCAATTCGATAGGTTTATTTTATAAGTGGCATCTCTCTAAATGTTCTGAGAAAACGAGTTAAGTGGATGGAGATCATTGTTTAGAAAGAAAATGGCGCACAGTGTTGGTTGAATCTGTTGGGCGTTTCAGCCAAGCCTATCTCCTGTAGTGTAAGAATCTCGTTCTCTCTGTCAAATCAAAAGGCTGCAATGAAATTCACTTCTTTAATCGTATTTTAAAAGTTTCAAAAAAATATTGCAAGATTATTAAAACTCAGTGCAGAAGAATGGAGGTTTTGCACCAGAAACATGTTGCAAGGGTCCGTAATTATCACACGAGCCATAACGGTTTAACTTGACAACTTTCGATCGATTTAAACACACGACCTCTAACAATAATATATTAACAGCAATTGCTTTAATGAGGGCTTCTTAAACTTTTTTCATCCACGACCCGAGATTTCCGGCGACGCGATATAAGTATAAACGAAAGATCAATTAATATTTTTTGATGATTTGATGATGATTATATTTTTCATCAAAATTGCATTTTTTGACATGATGTTGTTCTCTATGAGTATTTAAATATCTTTCTCCAAAGGCGCAAATAACAGAATCTTTTTTTGCAATAAAATATATTTTGTCACATCTCATGCGTGGAAATACCTTTCCTATTAAATCAGAATTAATAATTTTCTTAGAAAGAAGGAAATTGTGTTCATTATTAGATGATTCTTTTTTCTCTGGACAGCTTTTTATATGTCTCCAAAGTAATTTACGTGAATAATGGCCATAGCAATAATTACATGCAGAGCGTAGCTTTCTTCAGACGTGTCAACATAGGTTCTGTGAACAGGCTTAACCATAGAATGACAGTTTTAAAATGTGATTTCCTCTCTTTCTTAAAGATGCAATAAGACTTTTCCTTTCGATAGTTTTTGGCTTCAACGTAAGTATTTTTTGCACTTCAATTTCCTGCGAATGATTTCGGAAAATATGTCGAGCAAAATTCAACACATCAGTTTCACAATAAAAGCAGAAATCTGGAAATCGAGTTATTTTATTTTTCTTATAGTTTTCTTTGCCGAATGGAAAACGTTTTCAGTTGCAGGACTGGAAATTACTGAGTTCATTTCTTTCTTATCCTAAAAAGTAGAAATGAAAGTAATATAACATATTATAAATATTTAACAATACAACAATTATTCATTCTCTAAATTATTTTGCTTCTAATTTACTATTTATTTTTTTTAGTTCATGTCATAGTCGAAATTTGGAATAATTTTGCTTTTCGCGATAAAATATAAGCATTTACACTATTTTTTTTGTTTTTTGATTGTTTCATTTAAAATTTTTAGACTATGGAAGCTCAAACCTCGCTCTAAACTTAATATTTCAATAAAAAATGTGAGAAACTATTTTAATGAGCAATTGCTGACAAAATATCATTTATTTAGAACCAGAAGCTATGCAAAGAAAAATAAGTATTAGAACTTCAACATGTTTGCTACACAGCAAAATGCTTAATCTTTTATTTATTTTTATTATTTTTATTTATTTAATTTTAAAACGTTGAAATGAAATGGCATTTAATGTTGATATTATTGCGACTGTCTTTCAAAACTAATCATTCGGTTTATATTTAGCTTGGGTGATGTTAACAATAAGTTACTTGAACAGGACTGTTTAGCATCGAGATGTCTAGAATAAATAATTCAATTTTTGAATTGTTCAGAGCTTGACTGAAACTGAAGAAACCAACAGGATGGTTGGCGAAACGTCAGCAATTTCGACTAAGCAAAAACCGATGCAGGAGGAATCCAGAAGTTTTGTAAAAAGCATTACAGTAGCCTGTGGAAGTCTCTTTGAAAAATTAATTGAATATGCACTTAACAAATTTCAAAATGCGATTTATATATTGCTTAGTGGGTTTCAGTCTAATCAATGCTAAACTCGCTAATTAAAATCAAATTATGAGTTTTAATGTTCCATTTACTTCAAAAAGAAAATGAAATTAATTCAAATAACACTCGAATAGTTTACATGGTTATTCTGCATGAAAAAATAAGATTTCTTTTTAATATGAACATGGGTATATATAGTTTTCGAGATACAAGGTGTCATTTTTTTTTCGTTTGTAATAAATATAATAAAATAAAATAATAAATAAAGGTGTAGGTATCTCGCCATGGTCTTTATGATACAATGGGGAAGTGAAGCGACTCTTATAGCCTCTCCTTCTCAAAAGTGAACCTCACCTCCACGTGGTGCGCCCTGCTATTACAGACGAGGCTCTGACGACCGAGTCACGGCGGTATAACCGTTCTCTCGAGACTGAGAAAATGCAGTCCTCTTAATAGACCCTTCTCAACCCGCACTGCACCAGCGTGAGAAGATGGGGTCCAAAACCTTCCACAAATGGAAATGTCGAACTTTAAAACAAATATACCCCAGGCAAGTAGAGCTAAAGGAAAAACTGGATGCAAACCGCACAGCAAAGGTTGGCATGGAAATCACTGGAAGAGGCCTATGTCCGGGAGTGGATGTCTAGAGGCTGAAGAAGAAGAAAGAAGGATAAATATTATTTAACACGACTTTTGGTTGCTTTGTAAACACCATATGCTCCTGTGCTGTGATTAGATTTGTTCCAACGAAAACGAAGTTTCATTAATTTCAACTAAGACTCTTGTGACAACAAACAACGCTCCCAAATTTTAACACAAGATATTTATTAAACATCCTTTTTTTAAGTTTGCCATCCTGTGTCTTGAAAATTCATTTTCGGAATATGTTCATATGAATTTTTTTTATTTATTCATGTAGAATCATTTCTTAAAGTAGTTATTTCCGAACACTCATTTAGGAATATTTAGTCATGAAATAAATACCCTGTTTATTTAAAAAAAAAACTGGTTATTATTTATTTATTACTTTTAACGATAGTTGTATTTAATAGACTAAATTTTGCATTGACTGACAAAAAGTATTGAATTTTACTTTTTATTGAACTTCTGGATTCCTCTTGCGTCGGTTTTTGTTGAGTCGAACTAGCTAACGTTTGGCCAATCATTTTGTTGACTTCTTCAGAGCTTAACTGAAACTACTTCGCTAGTTCAACTCAACAAAAACCGACGCAGGAGGCATCCAGAAGTTTAATAAAAAGTATTGAACT